AATTACGTATACTAAACAGTTTCAGTTGTTATCAACAGAGGGCGCGATAACACTGATGAAAATTTAAAAATAGTTATTATAGTGTTTTTTTTTTCTTTTTTCTTTTTTCCTGCTATTTGTTTACTATTCGGCATTCTATCATCATCAATAACAATGATAATGCATTTATCTCATCAATCGAAAAGTTTAATTTTATAAAATTGTTGCACACGTTCCTGGAAGAGTATTTATTTCCTTGTTCACAATGGGAGTGGACGTGGTACGATTTAAATTACGTCACACCGCTTGCAAAAGTTATCAACGAGTTTCGATGACGATTATTTTAATAATATTTCTATAAATTTCAGTAAAAGTAATTATTTTTCCACTTACGGAAATAATTTGATATTTAGAACAATTTAAATATTTATACACGATTTAACTCTATTAATTTAAATACTATATAAGAAAAAATACATTTTCAAGCACTTTAGTAATTTTTATCATTTATTTACAATTAAATATAAACAAAATTATAAGCAATTTAAATTTTATGTAATAATAAAATATCATTTTAAGCAAATATTTTATTAATATTTTAAAATTTCAAGTTAGTCAAACCTCCTAAACAACGTTTACTAATGGAAACGTTAAAAAAAATGGCGTTGTCCGAAGGTTATTTTGTATGCATTTGTGTTTAAAAAAAAAATAGTAGCTTTTAATGGATTTTATAAGAATTTTTTAATCTAACATAGCATTTTTGTTTATTTATTACTAAATACCCATGGGTAATCTATCCATTAATAATTTATTATATATAATTGAATGTGTTTAATATATGTAATGTGTTGTAAATGTTATATATAAATAATGTGTTATAAACAAAGCATTTAAAAGTTTATTTAATTTATAAGCATTGTATTTATTTAAAATACTTAATTAGCTAATTTCATTGAATTTTTTGATTTTATTCATTGAAAATTTTATACTGTAACTTAGCTTTTTTTAATGTANCAAAATCCCATTACTTCATAATTGTTACCTAAATAAATTACAAATTAATTAAATATATAATTTCTTCAAATCTATCAAAGAAAATTCTATCAAATTTCTTTGTATTTTATAAAAGTTTATTTAACTTATTTGACTAGATAATTTTATTGAATTTTTTTTTATCATTGTTTATCTGTTGTAGAAACAGTAACTAAGGCGAAATATTTTTGTATTACTTCTGATACATATTTAGATAGTTAGAGTTCAGAGGTCAGCCAATTTAAAAAGTTTATAATCACCCCACCTATTTTATAAGAACAGGACTTTATATAATTCGCTTCTGTTAAGAATCATCCATCGGGAAATGTCTCTTTTTCATTAAAACGCGTGACATTGAAAAAATAAATAAATAAAATTCAATTTTTCAAAATTAATTTTTGCTCTTTTGTTGTGTTTTTATACACTTCTCGCACTGTTTGCCTTTCATTTTAATCTTTAAATGAGACATTGTCGTCTTGTTACATCATTTTATGTAGGTCATAGGAGGTTGGTGTCCTTCAAAGAAGCGGAAAAATCCCAAACAAGAAAGAAAAGTAACGTTAACCTAATTCTAGATTAAAAGACATTTGTCTCGCTAGAAAAGAAGTTGTAATAATAGAATAATAATAAAAACTTTGCGATAAAATAGTTGAAGAGTTTGACATTTACAATTCTTTAAGGTTAAAGCCTTAATTAATTCCATGAGATAACATTCTAAGTCAACTTTTACTTAAGAAAATTAATTAATTTGAAGGTTTGATCAGATAGTTTCTAAGTGTAATTAAAATATAAATTGTTTGATAAATAATTATTAATTATTTAAAACTTTTAAAGTATAAAATTAAATTATTTTAAACAGATAAACACAATTTAATAGCCTTATATTCAACACTTTTATGATGATATACAGACCTAAAGAGTATATATAAATTATACGCAGTGTTGCTCATAGCGATAATAAATTTTAAATATTTTTATTATACTTCATAAAAACTTCTATCGGATTTTTAATATTAAAACTATAATTTCCTTCTATTTTTAATTAAAACATTAAAAATTTTGAGTAATTTACAACTCCATCCCCCAAAATTTATTCATTCATAGTGATTTACATGAATGAATTATAGTATTACAGGAATCAACATATGTTTGTCATCACGATAACAAATCATGGCGATGACGTCAATACAGAGCAAAACTGCTATAAAAAATGCGGTTATAAATAAAACTTGTGATTAAATTCGTCGAAAAATGTGGCCACTTATTGAACATAATACTAGAAACTTTTATTGTTTATTTATTTTTATTCTTCTATGTTTGAAGAGGGGAAATAATTAAAAAAAAACAAAAAGTTAATGTTATTTAATTTTATATAAAAGTACATACAAATGTATAAAAGATAAATCATATAAAAGTAGGTTAACGACCTTTACATAGACTATATAAGTTATACGCTATATTTAACAATATACGTTATCTTATTGGATTTCCCAGCAGATATTGGATTTTCCAAGTTCATAAACTAAAATTAAATGATTTAATTTAGATATTTAGATGTACAAGTATGTTCCTCTTAGAGTGAAATATGTTTGACATGCCTACATAAATTCCTATACTGCTATTTTATGTCTTTCTTAATCTTTAAGTTTGTTAGAGAGTATGACAAATTACAAGACACACAACTGATATCATCATCAGAAAAAAGAAGACTATCATTTGATATACACCCACATTATTATGTTTTATATGTTCAAAGAAAAAAAATATATTGCTCTATTTACTTAAGATTCGCATGAATGGATGTCGGGAATTTTGCGCCCCTTTTATGTATTCTTAATATTAAATTTCAAATCGTACTAGCTGTTAAAATCTGAATATTTTTAAAAAATTGTTTTACATTGTTAATATTATTAGTCATAAATATAAACGAAAGTGAAATAACTATAGGTAAGTTGCACAGAATAAAAGAGAAAAAAATTAGTCCTATATATAGTGTTTTTAGTTTGAATTAATAACTTTCAATTTTAATTCTCGTCTTTTTATCGAAACCTTTTTCCTCAAAATGATATAATTTCTTTCAAAGTTGCAACTACATCTGACTAAACTTCCCGACGTTCCTTTCGCTTTTGACGTCAAAAATTACAATCCCAAGGTGGTCATGTCACGACCTCTAGAGTAACCGGCTGTGACATAATTTCCTGTCAGGTGATCAAAATTACGGAAATTCTCATGTTTTTACCAGAAGTGTCAAAATATCTACAGATCTTGTATCTGTTTTTAATTATTTTAAACGACAAAATTAGAAGTTACGTAGCTTTATTAACAAACAAAACGTTTCGTGTACTAAATGGACGGAACGTACTACATGATATATTTTAAGTAGAAACACCTTTCATACCTTAACAATTGTACGGCAATCTATTCATGTTATAATTGAGATATTCAAAATTCTCATTTTACATACTCGACTTGAAAGTTATAAAAGTAAAACAATGTCAGTGATGCGGTCGACTAATTAGAAAACTCACTAAGAAATTAATTCGACCGAACAGATGTTGTATTTACGTAGTTAAAGATGTTTAAGAAAATTTATTATTAATTTAACCATTATATATCTCAGAAGTAATAAAACTCCTGATATACAAATTCCATTCTGGTAGTTCCATGTTATAATAATAAATCACAAAAGCACACGTTTTACAAGAATTCCCTTCGTTCTACTGAGGATATAAAGCATCATTATAGAGCATAAACGTTCCTCCCTCCTTTTTAAATTTATTTGTTACTCTAATTACATCAAACTCCTCTCACGACTTTAAAAACATTCTAGAAACGCTTTCTATATAATTTTATTTTTAAAAAAATTTATAGGAAATTAGAATTACGGCTGCTACTTAAATAACTAATTATTTATTCATTTAAAATTATAAAAAAAATTTTTGAATATTTTCAGAGTTTAGAAGATTTTAAAAATTATATAAATTTATCTAGAATAGATATTTATTATTTTTATAAAGAAAAAATTTTGAAAATCATTTAAAAGTGAAATAGACACAAATTACAGTGAAGCCTACAATAATGGCCAATTCTATTTAGAATTGGCCATTATTGCAGGCTATTTTCTCAGGAACTTTTAATAAAAATGACAAAAATGCATACAAAATAACCTTTAAACAACGGCCTTTATTTTTAATTTTTCCGTTAGTGGCCGTTCTTCACAGGTTTGACTGTAATAGAATAATAAATAAAATTTAAAACTCATTTAATTTATCCTAAAAACTAAAATATTTCAAATATATTTCACATAAAATTGAATACTATAAAAAAAGTTTAAAATATTGTTTTAATTTTTTTATAATATTTTAAAATACATTAAATAATAATGACNATTTTAATTAAATAATTAAATATTTAATTAATTAAAAACTGTTTTAATAAAATACTTCACTTAATAATTACTTAATTAAGTGAATTTTTAAAGCAGTTAAGACGTGTTTTAATTGATTTAAAATAGCAAAAAGTTTCAAAATTAATCTTATTTAAAAATATATAAGATAAAGATATAAAAATTAAAGTTTTTTATTTTAAAAATATATCAAAATGTCAGAAATTTTAATCAAATTTTTCTACGCCTTGTTTTTTTTATTCGCAACTTGTTCTTGATATACTTTTATGTATTATGATACATAAACAACTATCAAAGTATATACGAACATAATAAACGTATAGAAAATCAAGATTCGTCCTAGTTATTTTTCATAGAAAAAATGAAATAAAATAAAAATAATAAATAAAATAACTTTATAGGTGAATTGTAATATTATCTCTTAGAGAAATCTTTCTAAATAATCTAATTACAAGCAATACTAGAATCTCACGAATAACAATTGTGACGTCAGCGGCACACTCAAAAAGTAATAACCAATAAGCGTATGGTAAATTTAAAAATAACAAACGGTATCGGCCAATAACAGTTTTCTAGTCGATTTCGTACGGTAGATGGAGCTAGCGAAAGAGAGTTTTTGTTTAACTTTATCAGTCGGCAGCCTTCAGTTGGAGTAGTACGTGGGTTGAAAAATGTACAGGAGCTGTACATCGTCTAGTGATACTGTAAGTAACCTGTTAAGCATTACATAACTAGGGTTTAACTCTAAATCGTTAATTAACAGTTTAGAAAGGGGGATAATATTATAGAAAATCCTAAATCATTCTCCACTTTTCGAAGTGTGTAAAGTTTCATGGACGCGTTAGATACGGAGGCGTTTAACTCAGGAAGTGCGTTTTTTTTTACATTCTTTTTCTTTCTTTCTACCGATGGTTTGACGTCAGTGCAGTCATAATGTCCACCAGACGTTAAAAAAAGATTAAGTCTCGCCATCTGTATTTCTTAGTAACTAGATTTTTGTTTTGGTTTACAGAAAGCACAGCGTGTACCGAGTCCCAACGAAGGAAGCAAAAGCCCTCTGTCATTAGAGAACTGGTACATTAACGAATTCGACAGTTGGCTCCAGACCGTTCCTTCCACAACTATAGACGTCAAACCAGTTGTAAGCCCGATACCAAGCCCTCGAACAGACATGTTAGAAGTTAGTTTCTGCTCCACGCAAGATTTTCTTAACAACAAGTATCAGCAAAACAAACAGAGATCGCCTCATGTGATCGGATCGAATGATCAGAACCACCAAATGGAGGTGAGACAGTTCGCGGTTGATACGTTCTACGAGTTACCCACCTCTCCTACTCAAGAGATACGTATTAAAACTGAACCCGCTGAAAATTTCTGTAATTCGTCGAATTATGGTGGATCATGCAGACTAGTTAAAACTGAAGATTCTGTCAGTTGCTCTATTTCACGTGAGAAAATCGAAGAATTACAGTGTCTCGCTATAGAACAGGCATCTAAGGATATTCATGCGGGATGCAAAGTGCTGGGTATATCTGCAGGTGAGTAATTTTTATTTTATCTTATAATTTCCGAATGCATAACGGGGAATTTAGAATAACCTAGCATTGTCTACATCTACATTATCGACCCTGACCCGAGCCTAACCGGTAAAACTTGTTTGTATAACAACCAAATCTGGCCTAACTTTATCAGCATGCTGCATTTATCCATCTGGCAAAAAAATTGTGTGGTACCGTTAAAAAAATTTCACTCCCGAGATGATTATTTGCAAAAATTATGTAAGCAATAAAACTTCGTAGCTGTAACATGCAATTTAATTATTTTTCCGCATCACTTTACGTCCATTCTAGATAGGAAGTTGAGCGTGTTGACTAAAACGGGTGGGAGATCTGAAAGATATTTGAATTGCCGTTGTGTGACGCAATATTGATTTTGGGAATTAGAACGCGTTCCATAAGGTTCAAAGACATCTCGAAATGAGGTCACGAGCCCTGAAATATGTTTTGAAGGTGAATGTCAAAGGAGGGCGTTGAAATAAAATGATCCACTGATGTAAAACGTAAAATAATACAACCTTTCACTTTGTCTTAAATAATCTATATTTGTCACATTATACGCTTTCTTTAATTTCTAGTTCCCATTGAATGGAGTACTCAAGATGTCCAAGCATGGATTCAATGGACTCTGATGCAATATGGCCTTCCACGTCAAACACTCGATAATTTTGCTATGGACGGTGTCGCACTATGTCGTCTAACTGAAGAAGAATTCCGACAAAGATCACCCCAAGCGGGTGATATTTTGCATGCTCAGTTAGAAATTTGGAAAACAGGTGAGACAATGAACTTGTTGTCGTGCTGTTCGCCCACACATAGTGGGTTGGTGACGAAAAGTCATCGGCTATTGACCCTCTTTTGCTTTGTAAATGAGTAAAAAGATTTTCACGCCCTTCCTTAAAGGATGTAATTTCTTACCACATCCTATGACTGTTTACGAAATTAAACAAAAATATTCCTTTTTTTATTTTTTTGCAGCGACCAATCTATCATCTCATACAAACTCTCAACCACAATTTTGCCCGGATGATAGTATCTTGGATATGAGTGGTCTGTTAAGTCATTGGATCAACAATGTTCCGTCCAGAATCCCCAACAACAGTCCGAATAATTATAACAGTTTATTGAATCAACATCCAGGTCAGAGGTCACCAGGGCTGCTGGCTGGTCCAGCAGAAAGTGGTCTGACTCTCTCGACTCTAACCGCAGCTGCCAGTCCCACCCAAACAAATCTGAGCAGCGATTTCAGCAGCGAGGATCTGCAGAGCGATGGTCAGTTTGCTGTCATTTCTTAAAAGTTTGATTTACATTTTTATCCGCTTAATATGACGTCATTACACGCAATAAAAGAACACAATTCTACGTACAAAGGAAACTTTAACAAGTTCAGGCCAAACCAGTCGGGGTCACAGCGTGGAATGTTGCAGTGCCTCAGGCGAGTCTTCTCTTGCCTGATCCACTGCATTTAGAAAAAGCACTAAACTTGAATAGCTTGGGCATTTCGATGAAGTAAAAAGCTCTTTAGATTCACCCCATTAGCAAAAGCGCCGTTGTAATGACGTCAGAGTCAGTTTCATGTTCTTTTTTTCTTTAACTAAACATATCTTTGCTTTTTTTTCAGATGAGACAAGTGACGAGAATTGCGATGTTGAACGATGCACCACAAGACCCGGTTCGCATTCTCATATTCACCTATGGCAATTCTTGAAAGAATTATTGGCTCATCCTCAGATGTATGGAAGCTGTATACGCTGGCTAGAACGCTCGAAAGGTATTTTCAAGATTGAAGATTCGGTTCGAGTTGCAAAATTATGGGGAAAGAGAAAAAACCGTCCTGCAATGAACTATGACAAATTGAGCCGATCCATAAGACAGTATTACAAAAAGGGCATCATGAAAAAGACTGAAAGGTCGCAGAGACTAGTTTATCAGTTCTGTCATCCGTATGGACAGTAAAAACGTATCCCACATCTCTGGTAGGAGGTATAATTGACGCGATACAGCTGGCCTGTATGCGTTTTTTAAAATCCTCAAACCTGTAGGGGTGTCATTTTAAAGTAGCAAAAATGTTTTTTGCATCATTAATATTTTGTAGATAGAAATTAATGGGCTGGTCCCGATTTAAACTACTTAAAAAAAGTGTATAAGATGTAGGAAGGTATTATTCCCAGCATCTCCCACAAGAAAAAATACATTTAAAAATGTTATCCGCTGAATTGCATGGGTGCCATGATCTTGAACTCTTTTGTTGCTAAGGAGCTTTAGAAAGTGCCCTTTTAATGCTTTAAATTACGAGTTATCGGGTTTATAACCTGGTAATGTGTCGTCCCATATATCCGTGATATATAAGTTTGTATGTTCTGAGAACAATGTTATACAAACTAAGGAGATTTTTAAGTCTCGTCCTAACAATACAGTAGTTTATAGAAAAAATTAATTTTTAATGGTTATGGGTTATTAGGACCTAGTAAAATCCTCTATACTTCTTTTCAGAGATATATTTATCCATGCAAAAGAAATATAGAAGATCAATTTAGTCATTAGTTTTTTAACCTTTTAAGGTGCGCGCGTATGTTTATTCATATGTAGCGACATTCTTAATAACAAAAATAAGTAATGTAACCTTTTATAAGCTTTGAAAAAAAAAAAACAAAAACACAAATATAATTTTGTAATTTGTATTTTTTAAATAAAGTACTTTTGAAAAAATCCAAAATGTCATGTGACTTGGCCTGGCGCCAAATTGTACATGTACTTTAAATCCATTAATTAAGCGGTTGAAGGAACGAATCGTCGTGACTAAAGTCGGACATTTTTCTTCGACTCATTTTTTTTTCTTTTTCATATTTAAACTTGTCAGTAAAGTTGCAGGACTAGTCTGAGAAGAGAGGGAGAAAACAGGTGTAGTGAGGTTGAACTAGAAATATGCTAATTGGTTCCAAGAACTATTCTCGCGGTTCTAGTTCTGGAAACTTTTTTTAGAGTAAAATATTCGATACAATTTTTTCGAATGGTAAAGAATTAAGTTACATTTAAATGATAAAATAGTCGGGTTACTATATGACCTTCAGACGAGCGAAACAGTGTGAAGGAGTTGATAAAGAATGACGTAAATCGTCTTATCTTATCTAAGTCGAAATAGCCATGGTGGTTGTAGTTAAAAATGGCGTTAATAAGCTATTCAGCGATTCTTTACCTTAAAATAAATATTTTTTTCCGAATATTTAATCATATAAAACTAGAGTTAACTTACTCTTCGAAGAAGTAAAGAAGTTAATGAATTTAAAAGCCAAACAAACCAAGCAGAACCTGCAAAATTAAAATTTTTCAACTCTGATAGCACTTGATTAATGAATCGGTATCCCTAATAAGTTGCATTTGTATGAAATTTTGGATTAAAAGTTGTGTTTAATTCGATACTGACTTAAAAATTTACGTTTATAACAAATCTAGTTCAGCCTTTGATGAGTAGGCCGTCGAGTGCTTGTATGGGGCCTGAGACTAGAGAGGGCCCTTTTACACTTTTATTTTTTAACAAATGAAATATATAGAATGTTTCTTTATTAATAAGTTTTTAATTTATATTATTAATTTAATAAGCGCCATAAGTTTTCTGCGGGATCGGGGAAAAAATACTCAGTTCCCCTCTCGACAGTCCTGTCATTAAAGTTAAATACCATTATTATAGTTAAAAACGAATTTGTTTTTTCATCTAATAATATTTACAATTAGTACTGGTGAACAAAACGGCTGCACAATTTTTGATACCTTTCTAGTGTAAATATACAAATAAAAAATGGTGCAACTGTTACATCAATCCGAATATTTCTATCAACGCTCAGAAATTCGCATCTGATCTGACTAAGCGAATTTTGATCTTGTTTATCATTAGTTTGATAGATAACGAAGTTTCATTATGCAATTATGTTTTTATAAAATATTTTTGTTATCAGAGTTCGGTTATACCTTTAAATAATTAATCAAAATAATGTATATTATTCTTATGCCGTAGGGAAATATTTGTTTTTATTTATTTTCACGCCTGAGTTAGCCAACAGGAATTTTTTCCGAAATCTATTCATTTATTTGGGGTGGGAAACACTTTAAAATTTTAATCTTTAAACTAATTTGATAATAATAAAAGTTACGAGTCGTTAATAAATCTCTTTGTATGTAGGAAACTCATTTTTATCTAAAGCCCATAGATCCTATCTTGACTCTTATTAAATATAATTTATGATGCAAATAGTAAGGCATTTATAAAATTTAGTGTAATTATTTGTTAATATTATATTTTCATCAAAATTTACGATAAGAACGAAGTGAGGGGACCTTCGACATCTAATGTACAAGGAAAAACTTTTGAATAATTTACAAACGAGCCTATTTAGCATTAATAACAATACTTTCCTTTTTGCTAAGGCAGACCCTTTAGACATTCTGAACACAAACGATTCTTTGTCACACCGAAAGGCATCAGACGTAATTAAAAACGAAAACAAAAATCTAGTCTCTCATTAAGAAGTTTGGAATGGTGCCAGTAGTGACGTCACCCCCGATTTTGCACTTAAAACAACCCCACCCAACATCTTCGAATCTGGGAAAGTCCAGTTTTAATATGCATTATTTAATATTCTAATCGCATAGATTTTTATATTTTTACAATACATAAATGTGTAAAAAAGAATATGGAATTTCAGTCTAGAGTATTGTTTATTACAGGTTATGGTGAATATTAGATAGTTTTTTTTAAGTTTTCTGTTAGTTTTATGGTTGTTAGCTGATAAGGAGGTTTAACTCTTGATGTGACATATAACATTCCATATTTGTTATCACTTCTAAATGTTATGTATCATATAAGTGTACTATCTCTGGATCAATCAATCATTGTAAGAGGGTATAAAAAATTAACAAAATAAATAAATAAAAAATAAAATGTTTAAGAATTAAATCGTATTATTTTTCTTACTAAATAATTACACAATTATAATATCGCTTAAACTCGGGAATTTGATCTGAACTTAAGTTTATTGTTAATGAATCAACACAGTTTGTTTTATATTTCCTTACCCACCAAAACTTTAGTTACAGAAAAACTGTTAGACTGTTTACTTTATGGGGGGAAAAAACGTACAACCTTGCCAAATAAGCTTTAAGGGCCTCCAGTCAAATTATTAAGGAGTCTATTAGCCTGCTTCCAGTATTTCAGAAACACCCTTTTAGTAGCCTTGTATAAAATATATATATATACCAATAGCGTAACTACAACAGTTATTAGGGGAGCCTTAATTAGAACGTGCAAACCTACATTTGTCCCTGTACCATTGTGGATGTAGCCACTAGCTCTGTATATGAAGAGTAACTCTTATACATTGTATACACATGTGTACAAGTGCATTTGTCACATCCATATCTTTCTCCTGTACTTATTTAGTTTTTCTTCATATATTTATTAATAAAGAAGGCTGACTCTTTGGGTCCTTTACCTGGTTACGTAATTAATATTTATATTTAATATTGTTGAGTAATTTTTTAAAATTCAGAAGGCTTCTGTGAAATATACATTTTAAAAAATCGCTTCAAGTGTTACAAACATCATATATCTCAACACGTATAAAATAGAAAATTCATTCAGCTTTAGAAAGTAATTTATTATGTCTTTGATAGACGTAATTTTGTTGAGTGTTCCATATTATAAATACAAGTTTAAACAATTAATTTTGGCTTTACGAGCTTGTCTGTAACTTAATTTCATATGTATCCATTTATTAAAAATTAATAATTGTTTATAATATCTAAATAAAATTTTTTGATGTTTTCTATAGTGGGATTTATAGCAGTTAAACTAAAACATGATAATGTCAACAGTTTAAAATACGACAATAATAATTTAAATAATTCGGAACATTTCGGATCGATCTTAAAGTTTCGGCGATAGAATTTTTATTAAATTTATAAGAAATAAATTATTTTCAATATTTTTAAATGTAGGGCAGGAGTTGAAAGGTGATCATAACCTAATTTCTCCATTAAATTCTTTTTATTTTCATTTAAAATATTTCATAAACTGTTTTTTAAACTTTTTATTTCTTAATAAATCACCAATATCAATATTTATCATAAAAAATATTCACCGAAAGTTTACATTTAAAGTGTTTTTCTAGCTCATAATCAGTTATGAAAGTTCAATTTTCTTGCAAAAGCAATTAAATGCTTAAAATGTTAAATATTGTTTAATATTTCTTCAATTAAATAAATATATTTTAGTCCATTCTTGAATTAACATAAAAATCTAACTTGATAATTCATAATAAACATACGTATTGTTCCGAGGAAAAGTGGATTGATAGGGGCCGGGTGATGCTAATCTACTCAAATTAACTTCAAATTGCTAATACTATTGAATAAATAGAGGTTTTTAAAATAAAAGTAGATCCTGTTGGGAAGGATACATATTAATTTTACTATCCTTCCTTTACAATCGAAGATATACTGTTTAAACATACATAACGACAATAGAGTTACAATTTTTAGGTTTTCCTTTCCCACGCCAAATGCAGGAAACATGGCTGAAATTGTAAAAAAAATGTACAACCGTTATTTTAATGTTGCGTGTTTATAAAACAGGAAACAATCGAAAGTATTGTACGAAGGTATAGGAAGTATTTCTGTCACCTGTGCCCTGCAAGCGTCAGGTTTAATTTGTGGGTAGCAAAAGTTTTGTACACTTGTGACATATAATTTCAGGAAATCGTGTTTTATTCCTTAACCGAATTTTTAAACTATTATTAATTATAAAAACCCAAACTGATATTTAAACTAATAGAAAAAAAAATTCATTAAAATTTAACCTTAAAAATCTGCAGAATAAATTATATATAAACTTAATTAATTTTATTAAATTTAAATCAAGCAAAGCTCTATATTTTTTTATGTTTAGAACTTAATAAGGAAATATCTTTTTGTAATATAAAATACTTAAAAAATTATATTAGAAGTTACAATAATAATTTAAATTTTATATTATATTCATCATATACAGTATTTGCATACTTGCATCTCCAAGTTCAAAAATAATTATAAAACCTGTTCTGATAAAAGCTAATTCATTTTCTAGTTTACCAGTTTTAATTTACACAGCTTGATATCTTTTGCCAACTTGTTTTTTCTTTTTTTTTTTACGAGTCTTCAAGCAACAAGTTTGTTTATACTGTTATATAAATCCTCAGACAAGTTCTTAGTAGACCTATCATAGTTTTTAACAATAGACTTTCTTACTAAAGTACTAAGAAGTGCAACTTTTGTTTTGATTTTAGGATAAGTTTACTTATGTATAGCTTTACTATTCACATTGTGAAGGATGTTTTAATCACAATTTGAGAGCAATAATGTTTTAAACTTTAAAAAACTCATCTCAAACCTTACAGTTTCAACATTCACAAGAATAATTAGACAAAAATACGTTTTAAATTCAAAAGACTTTAAGTCTATATTCTGCATCTCTACATAGGGTCTAGATTGTGAAAATTTTTTTACGTATTTGCATTAAATTTTATGTAATCGCTAGATAGCAGCATCACCCTCTAGCAATAATAAACCACAGAAAGTAGATAAGCTTACTTTAGTCAACAAGGATTAATTACTATATCGAATTCGATTCTCTAACTGCATAACTACTATTTTATTTTTAGAAATGATATATTAACCAAAAATCACATGAGTTCATTAATATAATATGATCACTAAAATAAAATAATATAGTTTGAGTAAGAATATTTTACATTTTAATGCTTACATTGGTTAAATAATATGGGTTTTGGTCTTACACAATAGATGGTAATCAGGGCCCCGTCGAGAGGGGCGCTAGGAATTTTTTCTCGGGCCGCAAAAACTTAGGGCCTCTTACTGCTATTCTTTTAAACTCTTGTTTCTACTGTCTGTTATAAGTTATAGCTTAGGACTTGTGGCCCTAAACTATAACATATAACAGGCCCTTTCAGGATCTCCTAGAGCTTGTACGGAACCCGGGGTAGAACGGGCCGTTTTGCTATGTTATTTTGAACAAACGAAATACATAAAATATTTCTTTATTAATAAAAAGCAGTCTTAGATAATTTTATTTTTCGTGTAAAAATAACAATAATTTATAGAGTAGGAATCATTACTTCTAAGTTTTCTGAACCCGAGGAAAAATCTCCAGCTCCTCCTCTCGAAGGCCCTTCCCCTGCACTAAATGATACGCAGTAAAAATGTGAGGCCCTAAGATGCAGCTTATTTAGCTTATGTGCAAATCCGATCTTTCTAAATTAATGTTATTTTTATTAAATATTGTTTTTTATTAATAAATAAACATTCCACGTGTTTTATTTGTTTAAAAAAATGGCAAATGGAGTCCGTTCTGGACTGCTCTGACGGTAATATAATTATGTCGATTCACTATAATGGATACATTTAAACGAGTTAGGTCAACTCACACATATTTTAATTCATAATGCATCAAATGCAGTATATATTTTTGATTAGACAAGTTAAACAATAAAACGGTTTACTCGCGCTTTTAAGCATTAGATATGTCGACAGTTGCAAGTTTTAAAAACAACACATGTAACCATTAAACCATCTTCATGCAAGACAACGCCCATGAACTTGCAAGAAGTTGAAAAACCAGTTTGAAAGATCGGAGCCGCCATTTTTGTCCTTGAGAGGAAAGGAAAACCTGACGGGTCACTTGCCTAATCGGTCAAACAGAACGGTGGTTTTTTTCTGCTTTCTTCCCCCAATTTTTATTGTATGATGGTTAAACCAGTTTGACGAGGATCACAGGTCAATATCAGCAGAAAAGTAACTGTAAGGTTTAAGAATTTGACAGAAATAAGCATTACCCGGTCACCGTTGTCGCATTAAAGCGTCGCCCGAAAACCCCCAAATAAAGAAATGCGTAAAGTTAACCCGAATAAATTATATACACAATAAAGAAAATATTGTTAAATAGTTATTATTATTTTTCTCAATTATGATTTAGTTAACGTTAAACTGGTTTCTTAAGTTTTTACAAATTTAATATAACGCGTTAGCGCATTGGTTTAATTTGAAATTCTAGTCACACATAAACCAATCAGAACATCGAAGACTATATAGATTACTAATTAAGATTTTTAAATAAATTTCAAAATGTTAAATCAATCGTGAGTGCAAATTTCGTGACCCGAGTAATTATTTTAAGGTTTTTCGAATATCCTGTTATGATAATTTATTCATCAATCTAATAATCATAAATCTTTTCATTATTAAAATTGTTTACGTGTTCACGCATAAGAATAGCCAATTGACTAGTTTAACGAGATCAATATTTTTTAACATTATACAAACATTCCATGCATTTTTAATAATAATTTTAGCTCGAATGTAAATAATAATAATAATAATTAAAAATTAATAAATTTAATAAAATAAAAATAATTAATTAATTTAAGACGACGTCTTTCATTGGTCATTTAAACATGATTTATAATAAATTAAATTGATTTTTAAACAAAACAATTTATTTTAGTAAATAAAAATTTATGATTTTTGAATTGGATTGTCAATAATTTTTTTTATATTTAATACTTTATGGTTGCATAATAAGTCACGTGACGGAAATTGTTTATAAAAATTTCGAAATTATAAATTTATAGTTTATTTTTAATGCAATTTTTGTAACTGTGTAAGACGAGATACCAAAAACCAATCAGATAGGGCGTCAGAATTCTTTAACTAGGTCAAACTTTATAGATATTTTTGCTTCAAGCGAGATGGCAACATTGATGTTTAAATAATCAATTGAAAGTTTTTCTAGGTCAAAAGTTATTTTTTTAAATGAAATAATATTTGTCATATAATATAAAATATAAA